GAAATGGAACTCCGATAGTTATTAAGGTCTTTTTCTTCTTCGTTTCCACTACATAGTCTTAAGAACAACCTAGAATCGACGTAGCACCAAAACCGAAACATTTCTCGCCGGTCTACTGTCACCGGACTGCCCTGGGAATCGTCCTGTCAAACCTGGCAGCAGAACGCGAAAATGCGCCTGCGCAGAAGGTGCTTCAGGCTGATTTCCTTAAATCACTAATAAATCTTGAAGCATGAAAATGGGGTGTAACAACATTAACAAAGGCCTTTTGAAATCATATATGTGGAACAGCAGACACTGATAATTAGCCAAATATCATTTTGACAATGGCGTAGTAATACATGAACTACTTAACAGAGCTCAAGAATGAGTTGACTGGTCACAATTTTGTTTACATTCACGATGTCAACATGGCGAGGGACTTAGAAAAAGATGGGTCAGTCTTCTCTTTTCTTTGTCGTGTAACTCCTTTATTTTCGATTTGCGCACCTTTTGCCAGAGATGAAAAGTGTCTCAGTTTACGTCAAGGTAACCATTCTATATCTTTTTTTTTTAATGTAACCCTGATTGTTATCTGTGGTAATTTTACCCTTTTTGCCTGATTGCAGCACAATACAAAGACATTAAGTCATGATTGAACAAAATAGAGGTTTGCATATGAAAATGTGTTTCTAAAGTTCCCCGATGATTCTATCAAATATATCTATAAATTTCCATAAATTGTTGCTCAAAAAGTAACGGGATACCAACTTACAATATCAAAGTTCTGTGTCAAGCCACCGATGTGGTGTATGTAGGCAACGTGGAAGTTGTTACTCCCAAACAAACTTTCAACACATTTGAAGATACAAGAGTTTACTAACCTTGGTGATGATTGATGTCTAAAAAGGGTAGTTAATTATTTATACTTTCCCTATAATGTAAGGTTGAGTTTATATGCATTTGAGTGGCTAATATTTCCATGAAGCTGTGGCAATAATTTTGTGACAGTGCAGCTTTAAATATATATTCCTCATATGTAACTGTGTTTAGGCCGAATTTATCATGTGCTATGATGGCACACCGAATCAATTGTCGTCTATCCAATAGACAATGAACTTAAGACAAACTGTTAATATTTTTCAATGATAGTGCGTTTATTGTCATACAAGTAAAGACTTACTGTTTCATGCATTTGATTAATATTTGATGATTTACTTAGTGCAATAGATGTATGTAATTTGCCAGTACTTGTTATAACCTAATTAAATTTAAATAGCACCTTCATTATTACAAATCACCATCCTATGTCCTCAATGTAATATTATTTCTAGTGCTAGATATATTTTGCGTTTTTTTAAACTTTCAGCTGGTTTTCAGTGCATTATATTTTCACATGTACACCTCTTTGAACAGCAATCAGACACATTAAGAGTTTTTTGTGCCCAAGTGCACAGCTTTTTTTTTTGGAAAAAAAAAAAGATTTCTGATTGGTCAGGAAACACTGTTGTCATTTTCTTAAATTCATTATTGACAGATCTTAGAAACTGTATGTCAGAGTGCACAAAGACATGTAATTTTTTCCGCAATACTGTTTTTTACACATTTACTACAGTTGAAATGAATAAAGAAATGCAAATACAGATTGTGAAGTCTTACCAAATTCCATTCACTCTCGGATGAGCTATCCTCGTCAAGAGGAACGGGGGCTGGCAGGGGCTGGTCTCATTGAAGCTCACCTTGCCGCAGATGCAGTGACACTGCATGATAAAAGAAGTAAAGTAAGGGGGATTCAGAGTGGTGTTTTATCAAAAGATAACGCATGATGTATTGGGCTCTTTATACCGAGCCATTTCACCCACTCTATAAGAGCTTACCAAAATCTTTGTTTTATGTTTATGGTTTTTGGGTCTTGTGGATATACAAAGTTTTCAGAATGATATGTACTCAGATGCTTATAGCCATGATGCAGTAGTTTTCGGTAGGTAGCCCATCCATCACGTTACATCAGTGTTTCCCAAACTTTTTTGGGTGCAACCCTAAAGATAGTCTTACCCTGGCTAGCAACCCTAATTGTATAAACATGTAGTAATATATCCAACCATCTTCATTGTAGCTATACATGCAGATGTACATTAGCTTACATTATTCTATACTTTCATAGGTTTAGATTATCAACACACTGAATTTCAATATACAAGTGTTAACAAAAAACATTTACTTTTACTGACATATCCAGCTGGTGACCCTCATTTGGGTCGCAACCATGGGGTTGGGAACCACTGCTTTATATCATGCCGTTTGGTTTTATATATTTCTTAATTCGGGGTATGAGTGTGTGAGCACACTGGTCACTATCCAGGAGTGGCACAATAAATTTCTTTTTAATTATATGCTCAGTACCCACAAAGACCCACACCTGGCTCAACTATCTGCCCCTGTTATATATTGACCATACGAGCAACGTTTTGTCAATTACACTGGCACCTCCTATAGAATTTTGATTTTGCAACCAATTTTGGGTTGCCATAGAACAAAAACTTCTCCAATCTACGCTACTTGATTTAGACATGCCAATACATTTTGGGATAGTTTCATCTTCCCAATGCTTTTGCAACCAATGATTTTACTCATCTACAAAATAATTTTTTAATGGTCTAACAAACAAAATAATTTTAAAAGGTTCCAAATGTGTCCCCTGCAAAAATGTGCTTTTATAATTGCTGGTCGAGAAAATGCAATTTTTACAAAGTTTTGCTTTTGCAATTTTTTTTCCATCTGCCACAATACCACATATGTCGATCTTTATGGTATTTGCAAGGTAAATCACAATGACGACAATGTACTGCCCTTGGCAAAACATTATGTGCTGTCAGGAATTCAATAGCATTATAATTTTTTTTTCAAAATACTCAGATAAACCTGTTTCAGACATGGTGTCATGTGATTGGTTTATAGCATTTCCTGTAATACTATTGGCTTTCATGACAATGTCACTCGCATGCAGTGTACAATACAATTTTCAGAAAGTTCCCCAACATTTCGTCAGGCTCATCTTGCACGTAATATGGGTGAGACACATCGACTTGTGCAGTGTAAGAAATATATTTGTTGCTGTAAACACTCGATATTATTATAGTATAGTTGTGTTGTTATATCTTTTAAAGCAGATATAAAATCTCCTTTTGTATAAAACTCAAATATTACACTGACTCTACAAAAATGAAAGGGAATCATTGTTTTGTTTACAAACGGTAGGAAAGGAAATCAGATGGCGCTTTTTAGAAAATTGCATGTCCAATAACTTTTTTGAGTTACGATGGAAGTAGAGAGTAGATAAGTTTCTTAGAATCACTTGCTCTATCGTTTGCATTTTTTTTTTTTTTTTTCTTCTTCTTCTTCTTCTTCTAAAAGAATGCTGGCAGAAAATTTACCAGTACCAATATCGATAACAATCAATCAATCAAAACTAACCTTACAGCCATGAAGATATGTGATTATTGATCACTTTTCATTAAATACCTTCTCTTGCAAATGAATAATTATGAAGTTATAGTGTTAGAATTGAAGTGAGATTCATGCAATTGCTAAGGGAAAACTGACCAAATTCTCCAGTGCTATGATTTCATTTGCCAATTGTTTGTCGGTTAATTTAATAGCCAATGGGGAAACAAGCTGCAAGGAAGCAGCCAATGAATAAATATTAGCTAAAATAGAAGCTATGAAATTGTTTTAAAATTATTTTCACTATGGCCGCTGTGTGTGTAGGGTGTCAAATTAACCCACTTACGACGGGTATCCCACATATGAGACACCCGAAAAAGTAAACAGTAACAGGCGTCATGCCAGTGAGACAGTAGATTGGAGCTCGCGCTCTGATTTTGTTGCCCGTGGCAAGCGGAGTACGAGCAGGTACCCGGACTTACCTGCGTGCCAATTTTTAATCAGGTGAAAGCAGTGCTCTTTCTCCTCTGCATAGTTATGGTGTAAGGTTTATTTTCATGGAAATGGGGGGGCAAAGGGGAGATGGTCACTGGGCGTTTATAATTTTCAAGGAGGACCGTATGTATGTAAACACACACACATAAGGTTAAGAAATTTAATCATCCTCATTTAGTAGGCCTACATAGACTTTTATATATAAAGGAATAAGATATTAGTTATCCCTATCAAATCATTTTCTTTGACAATTTTCAAAAGTAACAGTTTTCATCGAGATTGGATATTTGCTTATTTATGGTACAACTTAACATAATATTTTTTATCCAAAACGTGCAAAGACGTTGCTATAGCGGTTTCAACTCTAGACGAAGACTGCGCATACAAATGAGCTCAAAATTCCATATAGTTTTTATTTCAGAGTGGGTATTACTGTGTACTATCATGTTCAACATGAAATAATCAGTGTCTAGTTTATATCTCCAAAGTTCAAAGATCCGACTTTTAGGTGCCCTTCGCATTGAAATGCTCTCAATAGCAGAAACGACCAATTTTAAATCAAATCAAATTTACCGATGCTCAAAAGTACAGATTGTTGAGCAAAATCTAAAGGGAATAAATGAATCACTTTTTACTTTGCAAGCAACAACATATTATTAGGGAGTCTCAGTGGAAGCATGTTTCATGTGTAAAACTACACAAAACTATTTTTCTTTTAGATGTATTTCAGAAAGAATTTTGACATAAATCACTGATATAATTTTTTTCTGATGTCATTATCAAATGCTGTATGTACAATCGCAAGAAGCAAAAGTCCACATAGGTGTACCCGGGCGCATATTAGAGGTGTACCTCCCCACGTGCTGTTGGGTCTCGCATGCATTGCACGAGGACTAATCATGTCTGGGCTTTAATAGTCATTTGGTAGTTTCCTCATTCTAGCTAACTCAATTTGACACAAAAATCCCCTCTCCTCCTCCTTTTTGTTTATTCCTTTTTTTATTGCTGTGATTATCATATGTGCTTTACAAAAGGTTTCAAAGTAGCTAATTTATTTTGTATTGTATATTTCAGACACAGCCATGTCATCAGCAGAGAAGAACACTTCAGAGAAGAAGTCCTCTGAAAAGAAGACAACTGAAAAGAAAACCACGGAGAAGAAGACTGACGATAGCGCCCTCCCCAGTGTGATTACAGATGGCGGCCGGGTTGTTAAAATGGAGGTGGACTACTCTACGACCTGTGACGAGAAGATTCCTGCTGCACACCAGTTAGCCAAAGAGGGTCGCGTGCAGGAGGCTGTGGAGAGTCTCATGGTGTTGGAGAAGCAGACTAGAACGGTTAGTTTAGAAAAATGTCATTTTGATTGTTGTGCATTGTTGAGAGAAAGGTTGAATTTAACAGAAAAGTGTTCCTCCTCCTCCTCTTCATCCTCATCCTCATCCTTCTCATCCTCATCCTCCTCATCCTCCTCTTCATCCTTGCCCCTCAATATTCATTAAACAAGCTAAGCATTTACAAAACTTATTATCTGTGAGTTTTACGAGAGTTTTATAAAGTGTGTGAAAAAATAATGAAAGTGTACTGTAGTAGATATGCATATTTTATACTAAGTAGGTAGCTTAATCCAGAGTGTAATAAAAAAAGGATGACAATAAGTTTGATTAAAAGAGCCCTATGCAAAAAGCTGTATATGTATTTCTCTGTAATTTTATTTTGTGTTATTATGATGTATTATATGACAACAAGGTATTGTATAAAGAAATATTGATTGATAGATAACAACAGCTGTAAAAACCTCAATTTTCCAAACAAAACTGACTTATAGATTAGCTCCAGATATGTATCACAGTTTTAGGAACTGCATTGATACATTCCTAATATATTAATGCTTTATGTTCCCAGGGAGCAGATGCACATTCCACAAGCAGAGTCCTGGTTGCAATAGTGGAAATCTGTTTTGCTGCCGGAGACTGGAACTTGATGAACGAAAGCATTGTCACACTCACCAAAAAGCGCTCCCAGATCAAGATGGCTGTGACTAAGATGGTGCAGAAGTGTTGCGAATATGTTGATCAGACTCCAGACAAAGAAACAAAGCTCAAGCTCATGGACACTCTAAGGTTTGTTGCTTGTGTCATGGTTTACTAGTGGAGAATTTTTGCAAGGTATGTAGCAAAACTGTGTGGTGTCTTTATTACTAAGTAATGTTATCATTATTTGATTGATATGCTTTTATTTAATTTTTTTGAGTAACTTAATAAAAAATTAATTAATATGTTAAATGGTATAGATAGATATTCACTAGGTTCATGATTTTTCATTGCTAATTCTGTTAGAAGAGTTTGATTAGTCTCATTAAAATCTATTCACATTAGAGAATGCCCTCTCTTGAATAGCGAGCAAGTCTGGTTATAATGAAATGTCGGTGGGAGGGGGGAAAAAAAAGAGGAAAAAAAAATCACCAGCACCAATATTAGACAAGTGTATCTCCTCCCTTCCAAAGATCAGAAGTAAAGGAATGTATCAGTTCCAGCCCCACCTGGAGGAAGTACAATTCTGTCTTACTAGAAGTCTTCGAGGAGTTGAATGAAATCACGCAAAGAATTCTTTCAACCAGAATTTATTATTTTGGAAATCAAAATAAAAAATATTCATAAAATTGACACACATGTATTTTGCCATTTTACACACCACTTGCCATAGCCATTTTTGTTTTGATATTTGAATATGAGTGTTTACATCCTAATGCACAAGTTTTCTGCGCACATTGCAAAATACGCCAGTACTGATCATAAGGGAACACTGACCACGGAACCGGTAGACAATAGACATGACATAATGCATGAGAGTAAGGTATTTCCACCAAATATATTTTATTTTTGTTTTGGCAACGGGAGAAGTGATACTATAAACAATGAATCATTGACAAATTTATTTGTATTTACTTTTTTTGTTATTTCTTTCGCGGAAATAAATGTCAGCAGGTCCGCTATTCAAGGAAAGAAATTGCTGTGGCCTAAAGTTGCAAAACAAGAAAAGATACTTCCTATATACAGAAAGCGTATTGTACATAAATTTAATACCATAAAGTTTACTGTGGAATGACCTAAACTGTTTCTTTTAACAGGACTGTGACAGCTGGAAAGATTTATGTGGAAGTGGAGCGTGCACGACTCACCCACAAGTTGGCCATGATGAAGGAGGCCGAGGGTGACATCACTGAGGCTGCAACCATCCTTCAGGAACTTCAAGTGGAGACATTTGGTTCAATGGAACGTAAAGAGAAGGTTAGATCTTAGGGAGTTTATTTTTTGCCTTCTTTCGGTGTTTTGAAGAAAAAAAAAAAAATGTATATATATATATATATATATATATATATATATATATATATATATATATATGTATATATGTATATATTATTGTAAGAAAAAATAATTAACAAAAAAAAAATTATGGAAAATTTAAGATGCAAGTTAGAATGTATTGTAACGTGGATTATGAGTCTTTTTTTATCATTCTTTCTTTCTCTTTCTTTATTACTTTTAGAAAGAAAATTACTCCATACAGGCATGAGAGTAAATTTTTTGCACATCTTTTTAATTCCTTAATTATTGTACTGAAACAGTATCTTGTCTTGAGAAATGTTCTCAAGCTGTTTTGAAAAGAAGCAAGATTAATTGGATTAAATACTTGCTAGCTATTGCATCAGTTGATATTGTTTCATGGGCACTTGTAATGCATCATCATATTATTTCACAGGTGGAAATGATTTTGGAACAGATGCGTCTCTGTCTTTTGAAGAAGGATTTTGTCCGCACTCAGATCATTTCCAAGAAGATCAGCACAAAATTCTTTGACAATGAGAAAGTGGACGACCTCAAGCTGAAGTTCTACAAGTAGGTTTTCATCCAGGAATAAGTGTATTCTGAACTGATTTGTTTGTTTTATTAATTGATCTCGCTTATCTATAAGCTATATTTGTTTTTACTTATTTTTATTTTATTTTATTTTATTTTTTGCTATTTTGTTAATAAGAAAAAAGATTTAATGGTTATAATTTTACAGATTCTTATTTTTACAATAGTATATTGAATTAAATTAGATGAAGATCATAGTTTATACATTTCTATAATAAGTTTGATTGATACTTGATATTAGTTGCAGTATCTCTTAAGGATTACCAGCCCTTAGCTGAAGAGTTTAGGATAGGATTATTGAAGTAACTGTCCCAATGTTACCTTCTTTTACATCGGTTATTTGGCTCTCAAGGGATAATGATATCAAATTACTGACTTTGCTCGTGACAGCAAGTTAGGTCACCCAGCCGCTGCCCTTTTGTATGATGATGGCTTGTTCACGTCACCTAGCCCTCGAACCAGATTTTTTTCATGTTATCTGGATCATAGGGGTTAAGTAATAATTTTCAATGGGCAGAATATTTTCTTTGGATGATTATTCCAGTATAAATATATGGTAATCACATCATTATAACTTGAGTATAACATCTGTTCCAGGTTGGAAATTATAGTTATGGAAATTTAATCTGAATTGAGAGCACTACTGTGTTTATGCCTTAAAAAAAAAAGCAAAAGCAAAAACTGACAATGTTATTACCTGCAACTGTATTTTGTCAATGCTGCTTGTAATGCAGTGATTCCCAAGCAAATTTATAGAAATACTTTATATTTAAACACATACATGTAAAATTAACTGTTAGACCTCACTTGTTTCTGCTACATCTTCTATAATCTGTAAAGGATTGATTGGGCTGTGGGAGATTTTAAGTTTTGTTAATTTGTAATTTTCTTATTTTTCATTTAGAGTGTAAGATATAAGCATCAAAAGAAAAATTCTCACCAATTTTCTTTCCTGTGACAGTTTGATGATTGAACTAGACAGTCATGAGGGCTCCTTCCTGAGCATCTGCCGTCACTACCGTGCTATTTATGACTCCAAGAGTGTCCAGGAGGATGAGACAGAGAAGAAGAGGATACTGAAGCACGTTATTTTGTTCATTATTCTTGCGCCATACGATAATGAACAGAATGATCTCCTCCACCGCATCAAGGAGGACAAAACGCTTGAGGAGATCCCTCAGTACAAGTAAGATGGAAATGAGAATGTTTAAAACTTAATCTTCATATTAGGGAGGGGAATATACTGATTAAAGGTGTATGTAAACTGGATGAGGAAGTGAAAAGATGAAAAAAAAGAAGGTTTATGTAGCTAATTTTCTAGCACATACATTTTGAAGAATAAAGCTAAATTATTGGTGATTGTGAAAACTTGATAGGAGACGTTAAACTTCAATGTACCTGTATGATTATATTTAAGATTCTGATTGGTTGATTATAATTTGCTATTCTGTTACAAATTTTAAAAAATACCTTTCTTGATTCCAGAGATCTTCTTCAATTGTTTGTGACAGCTGAGCTGATCAAATGGTCTGGTCTCTGTGATGTGTATGAGTCAGAACTCAGATCGAATGCCAATACAGTTTTCCCAAAGAATGAGGAGGGAGATAATCGCTGGACACAGCTCAAAAACCGTGTGGTGGAACATGTTAGTAGATCTTTATTGTATTTATTTATCCTCTTGTACAGGATAGAAACAAAATTAGTGAATGACTACTTAAGACACATACTTTGTAAGTAGTTTAGGACATGATACAGATCATATGATTGTTTCATTAATCAGATTGTACATTAAATTGATTTTGCTGTATACATAAAATGAAAAGTTGAATATTCCATGTAAGGAGTGTTTTCAAAGACTGTTCTGACTAATGCATCCTTTCAGAATATTCGCATGATGGCTAAGTATTACACAAGGATTCACTTGAAGAGAATGGCTGAGCTTCTGGACCTGTCCATCAAGGTTAGAAAATTCTGTAGATTGATTGAAATTAGTTTTACTATTTGCAAATAAATCTTCAATTTATTCAGTTATGTATTAATAGAAAATAGAGATCAGTGAAATTGAAAGGGAACAAATATATGTGTGTGTGTGTCTTAGTATGTATGTGTGTGTCTTAGTAAGTATGTGTGTGTGTTAGTAAGTATGTGTGTGTGTTAGTATG